CACCCCACCCCACCCTTCGCCACCCCACACCATATATTCCCCTGTAGAAAGTGCCACAGAAGAATTCTACAAGAGGTTTCCTATGGTGGATATGCCACCATATCCCCTGACGCTACATCAGAATGATCTCCCACCTTTTCCAGAGGGTGGTGCCCTCATTGGCTTGGGGACACCAGGACAGAAGACTAAAGTCATGAAAACCAATGCAGGCAGCCCTGTCTTCAAAGGGGGCTGGGATCACAGCCATCCTGAATTTCGACGACAAGCTTATGCCACCAAGCGTCAGTTCAGTATTGAGAAGCTGCCTGAGGTCTTCAGCCAAACACCCACTCACTATGCCCAGCAACAACGGCTCTTTTCCACTAATAGCAAGACTGAGGTCACTGTCTAGGATGGATTTGTTGTTCACTCCTATATTCTTCCCTTTGAAGTAATTGGTGGAGTGGGGCCTGACAGCCTGGAATGGAGTTGCTTCCCTCAATGTGTCACTGCTAGGTTCTGGGAGGAAACATAGAAGATATGAAGACAAGCAGAATGCTTGCCAGAACTGATGGTAGTCTACAATTTAACAGAACTTATCTGTTCAATGAGGTCAATCTGTCTTCTGACAAAACTTGGTTAGCATGCATGGTGAAGCCAGCATGCCTATGCTACCCCATTGTTTGATGCACTGCTGTTGTTTCTAATTCACCTTTTCATCATATCACACTCATGCCAGAATCATCAACATCAACAGGAAGCCTTCAGGACTCCACTACTGTTCTGCATGGAAGTGCATCAAAAGAGGGAATAATATGTTTCCTCCCTTCCCACTTCCCCAGTAAGAACAGCCATCAATGCTCCAACAAAAGACAAGAATAACTCATGCAAAAATTAATCAGTACCTTGTGTTTGGACATTTGCCCTATACTACATTTCTTCTTAAGTTTCTATGTAGTTAAATTTCTGCGGGAAAACAAAATAAAGGCAGGATATAAATCTAATAAATAAATAAATAAATAAATAAATAAATAAAAATAAAAATAAAAATAAAAATAGATAAACGGTCTGAAAAGAGAAGCACTAAGGACTGAAAGAAAATGTACATCATTTCCTTCACTCTTAGCTTCACTTTTTCTTTCTCTAGCATTTGGTTTAATGGTATTTGTTAATGAGTCATTTTGGCTTTTTGCATATAAATATTCTATGCAATGAACATGGTTTGCATTCCCTTGATATTATGGCTCTCATGTTTAAGTGGATTACTTTAGAGAGTTGAAAAGATCTGTGGCAGAACATAGGGTATAATTCCCACCAAATTATGAGATTTATGTAAAGTATTTGATAAGATGATAAGGGAATACGATCACAAAAGGCATGCAAGCGTGCAAGCGTGTGAACAAACATGTATGAACATATATTTGTAACACTATATGTCATTCCCCATTCCCCATTTCTTTATTAGTGTACAGTAACAAAATCAAAATGAGAAAGTTGGTATTTCAGCCACCACACTTCATTTTATTTCACATTTCGTACTAAATAAGCACTCTGGCTCTTTCCACTGAGTCTTCTCTTATTATCTTTGGACCATCAGATCAGATACAACATGCTCCACTACTTAGTTTGTGTGTAACTGAAATTGTAGTCATGTTCTAATGCATCTTCTAGCGTGGAAAAAAACATATTTTTAAATTAAGTTCCTGCTATTAAAATATACAAATGCTGATTTTCCCTGTGATGCAACCAAAGGGCACTTGTGGCAGATGCCAACCAAGTCAAGCAGTAGCAGGTTGACTTAAATTCAGCCACTGCTCTATCACTTCTGCTTCTTAATTTTGTTCTAAGCTCTCACTGCAAACAGACTCATGTCACTAGGCATTTTACTTCATCACATGATTGAATCATTGTGGATTTCCATTTTTTTTCCAAATAACAAAACACCACTTCATATTTTCATAACACAGCTGCTACTTTAGGATTATTGCCACACAGAATTGATTTGAACTTTTAATTTGTATTTTAGATTATACTGCTGTATATGTATGTCATCTGTGTGACACAAAAGTGTCTAAAGACTTTTGATCTTTATTATTATTACCCATTTTTATAGGTGTGTATGTTAATAAGTCTAAGGTATGTGTACAAAATCCTGATCAGCAATTAATATAAAGCCAGAATTGGCAGCCCCTTCATATAACTATCAACAAGCTGAGATAAAAGTTTCTAACAAGTTAAAATATATTTGGGGATGACTGGCAAGGGCCCTTACAATAGTAACAAAACCTACAGAAATAAACCACAGTAAATTCCAGCTCAATCCATGACAACATAATGAAATAGAAAATAAATACTAAACATAAAATTATGGTGGGGGCAATCAATTCCCAAAGGCCCTGCAGAAGAGTTCATTAGCTGCCTTCCAGAAGGCCCCAACTATGGGTGGCAATCTGACTTTTAGGAGGAGGCTGTTCCATAGAATGGGTTCAATGAGAGAAAAACTATTTCCTGGCTTCAATCACCTCATCTCACAAAAATGGGGAACAACTAGTAGCTTTTCCTGGGAAGATCACCTCAGACAGATTGGCTCATGTTGGACTAGGTAGTCCTGTACATAAATCACTGCTTCAACTTTGTTTGTAGTACAGGTAGTCCCCAGTTTAAGAAGGCATTCTGTCCCAAGGTCTGTCCTTAAGTCGAATTTATATGTAAGCCAGAACAGTATTATTGTATAATA